AAATCAGTAATCATCTACTATAACGAATAATTCGTTAACGCTATAACGAATTATTCGTTATACATACCGCATAATTCGTTATAGCGTTAACGAAGATTCTTATAACGAAGTCCTGATCGGCTGGATCAGCAACTTCATTATATCGAGGTGTGACTGTATGTGTTTATTAGTCAAAAATTCCTGAGAAAGAATTTCTGACGAAATTATCATAGGATCCTTTAAGATATATAAACTATCATTTGACTTAAATGAATCAGTTTCTGATTTAGAGATTATTGATAAGATGACATTGATACCAATAATGATGATAGTGATAGTGATGATAATGGTGATTGTGATGACGATAATACAAGTAATATTAATAATGACAATAATAGTGCTAGCAATTGTGTTTAATATGATAAAATAAAATTTAAGAATCTATTATAAATATATTTTCAATTATTTTTTAAATAACAATTATAAAGTTATATTAATTTAAGGATTTAATAATTTATCGCCATAGCGAAATACTGCACCCTATCACGTGATTTGATAGTAAATTTTAATTGGTCAAATTTTTATATCGTTAAATATATTAGTTTTTTTCTTGAGAACATTTTTTTATAAAAAAAAATTTTAAACTAAACATCAACTAGAACTTTATATTGCAAACTGTCTCTTACTGTAAAAGTCCAGAGACCTGTTCCTAGGTTGAATGGATTGAAAAATGGAAGGCGGAGGGTGGCGAGTATCAATTATTTTAAAAAAAACTTTGAAATCAAAGAAGAGTAAAGAATACCTTCCTATCGTAGAAGCCCGGAGACCTGTTCCTGGATTGAATGGATTGAAAGATGGAAGATGGAAGTGGTGAGTATTCAATTTTTTTAAAAAAAATTGAAATCAAAGAAAAGCAAAGAAACTAACTTACCTTCCTATTGTATAAGCCCGGTTTAAATACCATACTAAAGACTGGGACAAATTTTGTTGAATATAACTTATTTTATTTTAATTATTATTTAGGTATAATTTATTAACGTAGTTTGATTTATTATATTTAAATGATTTGTTATTTAAATCTTATTAATTAGTTTTGTATGATTTGTTTAAGAGATTTGATTAGTTAGTTGTTAAAGAATTGAAAATATATAAGTGGCCAGAATTTGAATATTGTGTAAAGCAGCTCTTGATTTAAGAGTTCACAAAATGATAATAAATATAAAGTATCTTTGATTTAAGATACCTTTACCCAAAACTTATACCTTCGCACTTTATCATTATTATTTTACATTGTTCGTTATAGTAGATTCGTCGGCTGAGGCAGCTACATCAATAATAATTGGAAATCATTGCAGAAGCGCTGACGGAAGCAGTAATATTATATTTATTGATTGACAACGAAGAGTAAAATTAACCTTTCCTTAACAAGAATCTAAGAGGTTAACAGTACAATGAGTAATATGCAATGCAATATAATTACTATTTATTAAATAACTATATATACAATGAGTAATACGCAATACCAATACTATTATGCCCTAATTATATAAGTATTTCGATTTTACATATAAACCAACCCCAGCCTATATCAATATATTTTAACGATTATGATTTGTCACTTTGTAATTCTTCTGGTAATGACCAATGTTTCCACAATTTTTGCATTGACGTTGGTTCTTTGCTATGGGTTTAGAATCTTCATGGGAAGATTTAAACTGTTTGATACCTAATGGTCGATTCTTGTCCTAACACTTCTTTGGATTTTATAATGTAACCATTGCAGGATCTTCATTTTCTTTATCGCTGGTATTATTATCTTGTAAAACTTCTTCCAGGTCTGATAAGTTATTGCTATCTTCTTCTTCAGTAAATTCTTGGAGTAGGTCAATAAGCTGTTGCATTTTATGATTATTCTGTAATGCTTTCTGTAATGCTTTTTTGTATATCCCATGCAATTTGCCATATATTAACTTTCGTTCAAGAACTCCTAATCTTTCTTCATAAATATCCTTTCCAGTTTGATCAAAATTGCTCAAAAATAACACCGATCCATTATGACTAGATGTTATATTTTTGTTTTCTTGCAAAAATTTGTCAGCAACCAAAAAAGGCTCCTTTGATCCATCTAATTCTTTACTATAATACCATCATGATGGTATAAGTCGAATGTGAAATAATGCTATTTTTGTAGTTAGCATTACCTAAAAGTAATGCCTGCATACAACTCCATTTCGTATAATTGAAAGACATGAACAAATATATCCATGATTTTGTAGTAACATAATATAATGTTTGATTTGTAACGAATTTTTAACATTAACTGACCATATTTCTGTAATATTATGGTATCTAACGAATTTAATCATCTGTTCTAAGGTAACTTGTAATAGATCGATGGCCTCTGCTTTATTTGAGACTTCATTTGGAAATTTCTATTATATTTTAGATAAGTATGATATATAACTTGCAAATAGAAAACTAAAAAAAAACTATATACTTCATTGGCTTCTTCTTGATTTACTAAATTTGCTATATAATATAGTGACTGGTTTATCTCATCACGATGAATTTTTAACATCGTAGGTCTAAGGAATCGTTGAAGGTATTAATCAACTTTAGTAAACAGAAAGTTCACTTTTTCCTGATTTTTGATAGATGGAATTGATAATCGCCAAAAATTATATTCATTTTCTTTGTCATGTCTATCAAGAAGCATGTGAATTTCTTTTACAAAGTCATATATGGTTATGTTTGAGTTATATAGTAACCTTTTTAAGCATGCGTTCATGGATTCTATCTGAGAGGTAGCTATCATACCTCCCGTAAATTTAAAAGCGGTATAACAATGTGCCCAAGATATCTTTGTCTTATAAAGGAACTCTAAGTAATTTTTTGAATTAGGATGGTCGATTATAAGGTTATCAAAACGTTGTTGAAAGATTTCTTCAATAATACTATTATGGCATTTATAGAATTCATTGAGAAACCTTTGATAATTTTCTCTTAAGGCCTTTCTAAGATTTTTGTGTAAGTTTTGAGTTATATGAAAAGCACAATGTATATGATATGTAGATTAAAAGACTTGATTAATAGCAGCATCAACGGCTGGATCTGCATCGGTAAGTATTACGCTTGGTTGAATATTTGTTGCTTCAATTATTTGAAGTAACATCCATTTATAAGATTCAAAGCTTTCATCCACAAGAAGTGCTTGGGCAAGCAAAATATTGTGACGATCATTATCAAATCTAACAAATAATGACAATGCCATACCATATCTGTTAGTTTTGTAGATAACGTCATTAAGTACACAATCAGAATATTTGATCTAATTCTCAACTTGTGCTGGTGTTATCCAAAATAAATGGGTTAAGCTATTATCGCTATCCCATCTTCTAGCAATTACCCAACGCGAATCCTTTTCTTTTTGTAAGTCAAGCCAATCCGAAACTTTTGCAATATCATTTGATAATGATTTTTTAGTAGGTTGAAACTTTTGTATGACAGCATAAAGATCTCTTGAATATATTGGATGGAAAGGATATTTTCCTTCAAGAAACTTTATTTGTGCTGTTGCACCGAATTTGCAATATATTGTCATAAATTTCACGTCCTCTATCATTGCATTGGTAAATTTTTTACTATCCTCAAATTCAA